ATGCTGGAAGGATGTGCTCATTTGTAAACTGATGTAATGACAGAGACTCGAGTTTCCTAGGTCTACTGTATACACCCGCAAAGGTTTATCATTAGCAGCCCACCTACGTGTCTATCTAGCAACTTTAATCAATGCGAATTGCCAAACTATATAAGGTATTGAGCTCAGCATGCAGTGTGCCGCATATGCAATACAGGTCACAACAAACGGACAAATTGTGATACCACACAAAACCTCACACCATACCAAAGAAAGAAACTCATTCAATATACATTTTTGTGTGAACTGAGCAAATCGCTCGGCTGCCAGCCGATCTTCCTAAACACTGCCCCAAAAGCACTTCCAAGAAGATCAATTGGTAACATAAGCTGAAAATATTGTTACATTTGTTTTTGCATAATCCAATTCCACGTGAAACTTTGACGACATCAAAGAATTTCAGTAACTGTGGAAGCATAAATTTTGTTAAACCTTATTCTGACATTGTTATTTCGCAACTTCAACCAACAACGATAAATGAGAATTCCGATTGTAACAGTTACTCCCTTCTACATTAATATTAAAGTAGGCACTTTCAGCATTAAGTGTATTAAACAAATAATTGCTACTGTGTGTCTATACGAATGATAAACATACTGAGTAAAGTGATAACCGTTTAACACTGTGGATTGACTCGATTTCTTTAAAATCACTTGTGTGATGTCGAAGCTAGTCTATGGTGTGAGGAAAGTACATATGTTTATCTGAAAATATTCTTTAGGTTATAGTATACACCGCCATAAGAACAGCGATAACAGAAAAATAATCCCTTCTTTCTTTTCATAAAAGTGAAACTCTGAATCTCCTTTCCAAACATAAAGAAGGGATAATTCTATTGTTATCAAGATTACATATTTTTTAAAATAATAACTTCGAACGACTGTCAGTACCGTGCCCAAAAAGCGGTTTTTCACTACTATATCACAACACCAGGATTTCAAGCTATATATAAGTAATATGAAGAGACAGGATATAACACTTTTGCGAGGTAATGGCAAGTGTGTCGTAAGAAAAACATGATTTTAGTGGAGAAAAGTGTGTAAAGAAGCTAATAAAACGAAAAAGGAAAAAAAAATTATATACTATGAACCAGCCGAGCGGCCGAAAATCGAATTAATTTCGTAGTAGTGGTTTTATCACTTAAGAAAGAATTTTGTATACATACATACATACATATAAACAACTATATATAGACATATACATAGTATGTGTATATATATGTATACCTACGTAACTTAGAAAAATCGCGAATTATGTACTGTAATTGAAAAGCAGGCATATTAAATATATATATATATATATATGTATATATATAAATATATATAGTTCGCGATTATAAAAATATAAATCTAGCGTAATCGTGCTTCTGGTACCGAGTACTCTAGTTTCGAGAAGAGGCATTTCACGTCCAAAGGGTCGTGATGTGTCCAAAATCAAAGTGTGGCTGTCCGGCGTTGAAGGAATCAGAACAGATGCAATATCGTTGGCCGCTCGACCCACCTGCCCAGTGACAATAATATAAATATACAGAAATTTATATATATAAATATATATATATATATGTATATATATAAATAGGTGTATTAATGTGATAATGATGATAATAATAATAATAAGAATAATAATAGTAACAATAATGATAATAATAATAATAGTAGTAGTAATAATAACAGTAATTAATAATTAATAAGAATAATAATAAATATAACGATGTGTGTACATACATACATATATACATATACATATGTACATACATACATATATGGCTATATATATGTATATATATGCCATGTCACCGCATGCTAATTGCTAAGGACCAACCTTGTTGCGCTTGTATAAAACACAGTTTTAGTAACCAGACTGGGTTTGTTCGACACTCACCAAGGAGTGACTGGGCACCCTGCAAACGCACCGTTAAAGCATAAACGAACAAAACACGCTGTCACAAATTCTGGCATACAGGTGAATCCTGAGCGTGCTAGTATCTGAACAGTCATACTTCCTTTCCCCCTCCTCTCTCTTTTAGAGTTTGTCAATCTAATCTTATCTTTCAATATGAGGGAAATGTTTCCCTTGTACGAAGTCTTCATCTTTCTCATTCACCCATAACTTATGACTAGCCATTGGACAAGTCTAATTTATTGCCATAGGAATGGACAAGGGTTGCTTAGTATTGGATGAAGTAGTGCAAAGGTATAATATACTATGAATGTCAGATGAAAAACATTTCTGTCTCAATGATAAATCTATATATTTACAGTAAATGAATTGTATAAACTTCAAGCTTTTAGATGTCGTTACCATTTAAAAGTATCTATTCAATTGGGAAACATTCAAGTCTCTTTATATTAGGTCCAATAGAATTATTTTATCATTACAATTGACGAAAAAGAATACACTGCACGTACGTAAGGTATTACCTGATTTTGTCATTTTGATTCTAAACATGTACATATACACGTATTACGTATATATTAATTTCTAAAATATAAGACTTCAAGTACAACATTTCTTATTTCTTCAAAATAGAAAATATAATCATAAAACCATGAAGTTTTTGTACTTCAAGAGAACAGAATAATGTTATATTTAAGAAAATGTAAGTTGAATTACATGTTCCTTTAAAATCTTCCAGACATGGTTCCAAATTAACATACTGGTAAGAGCATGTAAAAAAGTTTCAAATGATTTAGATACTTATGCTGATAAATGGGTCATGATGGAATACTTTCATTGGAATGGGAATAAACGTATAAAATTATAAACACTTACCTGGCGGTAGGCCCATGGGGGGCGGTCGCATCATGTTACCTCCAGGAATCAGAGCGGGTGCAGCTAAGGTCATAGTAGGTCGCATGAGCGGTGCCATCAAAGCAACAGAGCTAACAGGCATTGCAGCTGATGCAGGAACCATAACCGCTTGTGGAGGTCTCTGAAATCTTTGTTGCTGTTGAAGAGCATTTAATGCAGCTTGTTGTCTCTGTTGTTGATCCTGAAACGCAGCAGCTGCGTTAGCAGCAGCAGCTGCTTGTTGTTGCTGCTGCTGCTGTTGCTGCTGTTGTTGCTGTTGTTGTAAAGCAGCAACTTGCTGATTAGCATCGGCCTGTGCGGAACGTGCTTCTTCACTTTGCCGTCGCTGATATTTTGGAAGTCTTGCTCTAATTTCCTCCTAGAGTATATAATATTTTGTTTCTTCATTTTCTATCAAGTTCAACGTTAATAAAATAGTATCTCATCAACTCACTAAACTCAGATCCTCTGGTGGATGAATGATTTTGATGGTAGCACTAGTAGTTGCTATAAGATTTACTTTTTGATCATTTCCAATGTTATTACTAGTGGTAGTATTACTATCAGCATTACTGTAAGCAGGGAATGTTGGTTTAACTGGCCCTATAGAACCACCAGCAATTGATGTAATCGGTTTAAAATCTGTCCCCAAAGGAGAGGTCACAGCTGTAGACGCGGCTGTTGAAACAGCTGCAGCACTTGGAAATAATGGTCGAGATGGTGGAATAGATGCACCCGACACTGGTGGTTGTATACCTGGGGGCATGCTTGGTATCCCAGGCATCATACTATAAAAAAATTTCAAATTGATTATGTTATTCCTGTAACTTATTCTGCTGCTGACTTATTGTTTTGAAAACTTTAAATTTGTATTTACCTAACTCGCGTTAAATTAATATCACAAAAGTTATTCTTCTTTCACGCTGTCGCTTTTGAAAGAAAAAAATATACATACCCAGGTCCCATGAAAGGTGGACCTACAGGACCCATAGGTCCCATCATATGGTGCATGGGTGGTGGGAACTGGCCCATTGGTGGCATACCAGGATGAGCTGCCATACCTGGCATTACACCTGGCATCATATTTGAACCTGTAGGCATTGCTCCTGGCGCAGAACCCAACAAACCCTCTGGTTTTGTCTTTTTTCTAATGGGTTCATCTTCACCAGAGCTTGGTGAACCGGGTCTACCTCCATTCCTTTGCCTTTCATGTTCTTTTGCATCATTTGGTGGTATACCTTCCATACCATAAATTTCTATTTCAATATTACTACGATTGGGCAAAGAATTTGGAACCTTATCTATCGCTTCTTTATGTACCTAAAAAAAATTAAATACTTACTTTTTGGCTTTAGTTTATTTACAGAGTTATAAATCTCTAACACAAATAATTCATTACCTGCATACAGTGTATACTAAGTCCTGGTCCCGTATAAAGCTTTTTATGACAGATATGACACTTGAAATGTTTCGCTTTTTGGTGCTGAATCAAAATTTTCTCATCTTCAAATTCTCGATTACAATACCTTTTTAAATTTATTAAGGAAATCCTAATATCATAAAAACTTATAGTAATAAAATTTATAATTTTACAATTGTTTTTATATATAAAAGCAATAATTATAAAAAGTAAAGTCCTAGAACTTTACGATTATTAATACGTATCACAGAAAATATGTTACAAAATATAAAATATGTACTTGCATTGTTTATGTATATTATTATCATTTACACATACTATTATTAAAATTGAACTTGTATGTAGTTTGAGTAAGAAATTATACATAAAAAATGCAAGTAAAATCTATGCATTGAGAACTTTACATGTACTTTCAACAAAAATATTAATACGTTGAGTTTAAAAACAGATACATCCTTAAAGATTCTCCACATTAACATACCATTCTTTATTTATAGTAACATTTGGATTTAACACAAGATACATTGTTTAACCCATTGACCTACAGTACCATGTCAGACACATGACAAAAATGTTAAACTGAATTTGACAAATCTAAGTGTTATTTAATTTTTTTTTAATATAAATTAAATACTAACTTTCTATTATCAATCATTAACCTTTGGAGTAAACGTAGGCATAGAATAAGTATAAACATTTTTTTTCCTTTCCTAATAAATTATTAGCAATAAAGTAGTTGTTTCAATTATAGTTAAAAAATAAATCATAGGACAAGGGGTTAACATAAGATAATGGAATACCCTGTAGTATATTCAAGATACCAAAAATTATTCTTATGAAAATTGTTTGGTATAATATAAATCATGGTTATAATTATAAACAAATGTTATC